GTACGCCCACCCCTGCCTGCCGCATGCGGCCAGCATGCCAGGCCCAGGGCGCCCCGCTGCGGCGTGCCTGGTGCAGTGCGGCTGGGCCGCATGGGCCCCCTCCCTCCCTCCTGCCCAGCCCCACCTGACGGCGGAGTCGCTGTGGAAGGACTGTACCGCATTGTACACCGCATCCCCCAGCTCCGCCAGCAGGCGGCGCCGGATCTGCATGAACCCCGCCACCACGCCGTTGTGCTGCAGGGCGGCGGGCGGCAGCAGGGGGGGATCGGGGGGTGCCTGCCTGAGCTGCCGCAGCGGGCACGCTGAGGCGACGCAGGGCAGCTGTGCGCCCCTGGGCTGGTGACCCGCCCCGCCCATCTTGTCAGCCGCCGCTGCTCACTGCTGCCCACCATGAAGATGTAGCGGCCCCACTGGAAGGGGTGGCAGTTGGCCTCCGACACGGGCATGCCCGGGTACGCGGCGCGCACGTGCGCAAAGATGACCCCGCTCTCCAGCTTGGTGGCCAGGCGGTTGAGGTTGTCGTTGTTCCATGCGGGGGTGATGGAGGTGAACACCTGCAGGCGCAGGCAGGCGGGCGGGCGGGCGGGCACGGTTTCAGGCAGCAGAGCCGGCGGCAGCGGGCACGTGTGAAGGCCACCGCCTGGGAGGGCAGTACGCCGTGCCGAGCTGCGGGCGATCTGCCGTGCCGGAGGCCAGCCGCGGGCGGGCGCAGCGCTCTCCCGGGGTGCAGGGCGGCGCGGCTCACGCAGGGCGTGTGGTCGGCGGTGGCGCAGGCGCTGTCTGGCGGGAACCAGCCGATGCCAAAGCCGTCTCCGTTGAGGTTGCCGTAGCCCAGGTGGAAGGGCAGGCTGCTGTCGTTGCGCCGCTCCCGCGCGTCGTAGCTCTGCTTGATGATGGACCGGCTGGGCCGCACCACCACGTCTGCCACGGTGATGGGCGGCCCGATGTAGGCCATCAGCCTGTGGGCGGCACAGGAGGCGGGGAGGGAGGTGGTGCCCGAGGGCAGGCGCAAGGGGGGGCACGGCGGGAGGTGGCATACCGCCCTGGCTGGTTGCGCGAAACCCGGGAGCCGAGGCCAGCATCAGGGCTCCACATCACTGCTGCGTCAACGCAGCTGCTGCAGCACGAATCCAGCAGGCTCACCGGCACATTGTGCCCTAGGCGGCTGCCGCCGCTTTGGCCGCTACAAGCTGCCGCCGCTATGTGCCTAGCGACGAGGAGCGGCACCGTTGATGCGAGCTATATGGCCCACTTGACGGGTCCCAGGGGCGCACCCTCTTGCCCCGCCGACGCTTTCGGTGGCAAAACGCAAGGGCAAGCAGCAAGGCAGAGGCAGGCTCAGAGCAGCGCACTTTTCGGGGATCACTTGTGGAAGCGTGTTGCATGAGTGGGGCGGCCGTCTGTTTCCAGCAAGCACCAAATCAGGACAGCCTGGCGTGACTCAGGAGGTGTGAGAGGAACAGGCCTCCTCTGATCGGACCATGTCCTTACCGCATTTAGCAATACCTGCAACGCCCTAGCGGCCGCCTGGCCTCCCTTGCAGTCCTGCTCAATGACACCCTCCTGCGCAGCTGCTGCTCCTGCCAGCATACACACACCTCGCTGCGGCCCCGCCAGGCAGCTTAGATTGGGCATCGCCCACCGCCGCCACTTGCAGCACTGCCGGCGGCGGGGCGGCATGGTGGCGGCAGGCAGCGCCGCTAAGGAGCTCTGGGCGCTGGACTTTGATGGCGTGACCTGCGACTCGGTGGGCGAGTCCTCGCTGAGCGCCTTCAAGGTGGGCACCATTGGAGCAGCCTGCGCTGCCGCCGGACTGCCCGCTGGTCCTCTTCTGTCGCGCTGCCCAGGTAACGCCTGACGCTCCCTGGCTGGCGCAGGCTGCTGCCAAGCTGTGGCCAGAGGTGTTTCAGACGCCAGAGGCGGAGGCCCGCAAGGAGGAGCTCGTGGAGAAGATGCGGGTGGTGCGGCCGGTGGTGGAGACGGGGTGCGCATGCTGTCGTTGGTTGCTGTGCGTGGAGGGCTACACTCAACGGTTGCATGCTGGGGAGCGCCGCCGACAGAATGCTTGCCGACAGAATGCTTGCAGGCTGCAAGCACGTGGGTTGACCACTGAATGGGCCTGCCATTCCTCACGCCCAATGCTCTCTCGCCCCTGTTGCGCGTTTGGTGCCCAGCTCTATTCGTCGTCATGCCATCCACCCCGCCCCTGGCCCTGGCCCTCCGCCTGCTGCAGGTACGAAAATATTGTGCAGATCCGGTGCCTGCTGGAGGGGGTGGACCCCACCGACATGCTGCAGCGCTGGCACGACATGCTGCCAGAGTACATGCAGCGCTGGCAGCTGGACCGCGTCGAGGTGCGCCCCGCTGCCGGCCCCGCTCCGCCGGCCGTCTCGTGTGGCGCAGGCAGCCGCATCCTTGGCTGCACTCCGTACCCTCCGTATCCTCCAGCAACCCTCCATCCCCCTCCTCCTGCTCACCCCCGTGGGCACCACCCCGCCTGCAGCTTGTGCACCTGTTTGGCAGCACGCGGGACGAGTGGATGGCGGCGGACCTGGAGGGCTGGCTGGCCCCCAACCGCATCTACCCGGGGGTGGCGGAGGCGGTGCGGGCGCTGATGCAGCAGCACGAGGTGTACATCGTCACCACCAAGCAGGTGGGTGCTGGGGTGTGCGGCGCAGCGCCCGCGGGGGGAGCCTGTGGAAGCCAGCAGGCCTGGGAGGGCTGCGCTGGGACTGTCTGGCGACCCGGCCCCAGCGGCGCCATGCACAATGCGCATGCCCGTGCCCCGTGCCCCTCTCCCCCCTGCAGGCCCGCTTCACCGAGGCCATCCTGCGCCAGATGGCGGGCATCTCCTTCCCCCCGGACCGCATCTTCTCCCAGACGGTGTCGGGGCAGCCCAAGAGCGAGGTGCTGGAGATGCTGGCGGCCCGCCACCCGCATGCGCCCAGCCTGCACTTTGTGGAGGACAAGATGTCCACGCTGGAGAAGGTGGGGGCGGGGCGGGGGCTGGGGGGGCGTGGCAGGGGCCGTGGCGGCGCATACTGGCCTGGGGTTTCGAGTGGTGGCCCTGCAGGTGGGATGCTGTGTCTTCACATGCCTGCCATGGCCCCTGGGCGCCCCTCCTCGTGGCCTCAGGTGGCCAAGCTGCCCAGCCTGGAGCAGTACCACCTGTACCTGGTGGACTGGGGCTACAACACCCAGCAGGAGAGGCGGCGGGCGGCGGCCAACGAGCGCATCGCGGTGGTCGACATCCAGCAGTTCATGCGGCTGGCGGGAGCTGCGGAGAGTGCCACGGCATGAGCCTCGCACGCACCCAAACCGTGACGCCAACCGCGTTGTAGCAACCTGGCACATTGGGAAGGGACGGGAGGGGGAAGGGGAGGGAAACCTGGGGGAGCACCAAGATTGCCGTAGGGACAGCTGCTGGGATCCGACCCCAGATCTGGGACAAATGCAAATTTTTTGCAGCTACTGCAGCACGGCGCTTTGCGCGCTGTCCGCGCGCCGCCCATAGGTGGCCTCTGGAAACCGCCCTTCAGCGGCAAGTACACGGCATAACAGCGTTCTGGTCATCAAGTGGACCAATTCTGCGCTGCTGAAATCTTTGCTGGACGCAGTGGGTGCAAGGCAATTTGAGACGGCCATCTTTTCACCCGCCAGGCGGCTCTGGGGCGTTCATTTCTGCTGCATGGTGAGCAACCCATGGTTTTCAGCGCGAGAAAGGGCCGGCAACGCCGCACCTTGCGACTCATGTTGCAGCTCAATCACACGAGCACACCATGATGGCAGTGGGCCGGCCGCAGCCAGCGGCCACATGCCGAGCATTTGCTTCACCAGCTTGCAGCTGGCCCGGGGTTGCCCCACTCCCTCCTGCCCCTCCCAGCGATCAGAGGACCTCCTGGGCCTCCCCTGCCAGTCTACAGCCAGTGCCAGGTGCTCCCTAAGCGCCCCCCCTGCCGCCCATGCCCGCAGGCACCAGGCAATGGCGCAGTGAGGGTGGCCTGAGCAGCAGCGGCGGGGCTCCACAACATGGCAGGCCAGCGGTCGGGGCGGCAGCCGTCTGAGGAGGCAGGCAAGGAGGAGGCTGCCGGGAAGGCTGCGCCGCGCCGATCTGGCCGCACCGCCAGCGCCACGCCCGCCCCGGATCCGGCTGGTGCCAAGCAGAAGAGCGGCGCCAAGTCGGGCGGCAAGGCGGCGGCCAAGTCGGCGCCGCCAAAGGCTGGCGGCAAGCGCAGCCGCTCCCCCAGCCCCCAGCCACCAGCCAAGAAGAGTGGCGGCGGCAAGGGCCGGGCGTCTGGGTCTGCCAAGGAGGAGGCGGAGCAGCAGCCCAAGGGGAGCAGCCGCGCCCGCAGCCGCAGCACCGCCGCACCCGACAGCAAGGTGCAGGCTGGCAAGGGCAAGGAGGCAGCCAAGGACAAGGCCCCGGGCAAAGCCAACAACGCAGACAAGCAGCAGGGCAGCAAGCCGGCGGCCGGCAAGGGCGAGGGCAAGAAGGGCGCCGGCAAGCCGCCGCTGGCTCGCAAGGGCTCTGCGGCTCTGAAAAAGGATGCAGAGGAGGAGCCAGGTAGGGGCGGCCTGCCCAGGAGGGAGGCGGTGCTGGGTGCTGGCCTGCACTGCCTGCATGCTGCTACTTTGATCCGGGCAAGCCGTACAGAGGAGTGCCAACGCTGCTGCTGCCGCATCCTTGCCGTGTGCAGAGTCCCCCGCAGCGGACGAGGAGGAGCAAGGCAGCGGGTCGGAGGGCAAGCAGGGGCCGGGAGGCAGCGGGTCGGAGACGGGCTCTGGCTCTGAGGAGGCGCCTGGCTCTGGCTCTGAGGAGGAGGGGGAGGAGTCTTCATCTGAGGAGGAGATTGATCAGACCATCTACGCGCCCCCGCGCACCGCCGCCCTGCCCGCCGACGCGGTGCTGGTGGAGGGCGACGAGGCGCGCGGCGTGGCGCAGCTGGCGGTGCCGTCTGCGGCGGTGGGCGAGCTGCTGGCCGCCTACAACGCCATGCGCGCCTTCTCCTGGCAGCTGCGCCTCTCCCCCTTCTCCTTCCCAGACCTCTGCGCCGCCGTGGTCAGCACACAGGTGGGCGGGGCTGGGGGCGGCTGCAGGTGGATGGCAGAGGGGGTGCTGCTGCCCCAGAATGCGTCTGCGCCAGGCAACCATTGCCGGCAACAAAAACACCCCGCCTCCTCGGCCCCCCTCTCGGCCTGCCCTCCCCCTCCCTCCTCCTCACAAACCCCGCCCTCCCCGCCGCTCCCCTGCGCAGCCTACAGCGCTGATGGATGAGGCGCACGTGTGTGTGCTGCGTGCGCTGGCAGTGGATGAGACGCCCAAGGAGCGCGGCGACCGCGCGCTGGACCCCTCGCTGCTGGACCACCTCACCTGGCCCGCATACGCCTGGGAGTTCCTGCGTCTCACAGACGACCCTCTGGCGGAGCAGGAGTGGGCGCATCGGCTGCCGCCCAAGCCCCCCGCGCCCCCCGCCGCCGCCGCCAAGAAGGGCGGCGGCGGCAAGAGCAGGAAGGGGGCGGCGCCTGCTTCGGCGGCGGCGGCGGCGCCCGTGGCGGCGGCCGTGGCCGCAGGGCAGCCGCCGCGCCGCCGGGCTTTCGAGCCACTCAGCGAGGAGGCTGCTGCGGCCATGGACGCGGCGCTGATCCGCAAGGAGCCGCAGCAGGGGGCAGCTGCGCCGCAGCAGGCAGAGGCGCCGGCGGCGGCTGCCGCGGCCGGCGGTGCGGCAGCCACGGCCGCCGACCCGCCGGCCCCAGCCGAGGCAGCGCCTTCAGCTGCAGAGGCTGCGGCAGCCGAGCCAGCAGCAGGCGCCGACGACGACCAAGCCGCCGCCGGCGAGCGGCTGGCGGCGGCGGCGGGGCTGTTTGCCAGCGTGCCGCCGCTGCCGCCGCCGCCGCTGCCCGAGTACTACGGCCTTCCTGTGGAGCTCAAGGCCTCCATCCTCTCCCGCCTGTGCGACAACCTGCTGGACTGCCTGACCATCCGCGCCGAGATCGACCGGCGGGAGGCGGCGGGGGAGGTGGTGGCGGGCAAGGGCGGCGTGGGCGGCGCTTTCGCGGTGATGACTGAGGAGGAGCGCAAGGCGGCGGAGGAGAAGGTGCGTCTCCTTCCCTGGGGAGGTGGCAGGGCAGGGGCAGGGGCAGCGGGGATGAGGAGGGGGAGAGGAGGGCGGCGGCGCTGCGGTGCCTGGCTGGGGCGCCGGTTCTGGGGACCCGCCGCCGCCGCCGGACAGCGTCATGCAGCCTCTCCTTCATTCCTCGCCCCACCTCGCCGCTGCGCCCGCTCCTGCCCTGCCACCTCCACAGGGAAGGAGACGCACCTTCTCCTCCGCCGCCTTGCGCTCCTCCTCAGTCATCACCGCGAAAGCGCCGCCCACGCCGCCCTTGCCCGCCACCACCTCCCCCGCCGCCTCCCGCCGGTCG